TTCTACACGCCTTTCTAACTAAATTAAACAGAAGTAACCACCACATTTTACAGTATAATCAACTATTTAAATTGCCTCAGAGTTCATAAGGAGTCCCTGCATTCAGATTTGAAATGGAATTAGGCCGTGTGTTTTTCCGTATAATTAAATGTAGGATATGATTGAATGTGCAGCACTCAAACGTGTGTTCCTTTCTCTAGGCCAAGCTTTACTTGACATTAATAGATATAAATTAAGAATCAGCATTCCAAGTACTTTTTGCAAGATCTTTTTTCAGCTCAGGCCTGGGGAGCATTTATAACCTTGACTTCCACAGTGGGTGCAGGTACCAAAATAGAGACAGTCCCTGAATAAAGGAGTCAAAATGAGTATTAGTTCTCATCTATTCCAAAACCTAATTTTGGAAGTAAACACTAACCTGAGAGGTTTTTCTGTACACAAGTTCACGTGTAACATACCGCAAAGCACATCCAAACACGGTGTTTTCAGAGATTATGAAAATTTTATTAACAAAGAAAATCTGCACATACGCATCTCCTTTAAAAATCACCACTTCATACCTGTAGAAAGCACTTTGTTTTCTATTCACTATTTCATCAATGGCAGGAAAATGAAATCACAACACCAAAATGCAGACCGATATTTCTGAAGGGGATAATCATTTGAGATAATCAAGAAGATAATCGAGAAAATCAGAAGAAAAGAATTAAGGTATTCATTGCCCAGGCTGAAACACTGAGCCTTCATCGAAACAAATGTTTCCACCACAAGTCAGTATATTTGGCCATCAGCTCTTTTTAACACTGTCCTGAATATTCAGTGTACATCTAAAAACATGATAGAGTTCTCTGAGTATAGTAAAAACTGATAGCCAGCATGATTTACAGAAATTAACGGCTCCATGGCAATAGTTGAGAGGTAATTACTAGAAAATGTGAAGGTATGTTTTGTGACAGGATGGGATTGGTTTTCAGGGCAACTTCTCAGTTTGTTTCTGGTTAAATAACTGCTCCACTGTTGACCTTCAGAATCTTCCTTGGATAACCTCTACCCCACCTTTTACTAAAAATCTATAAACATATTCCAGATACAATGCATGCAAGAGGAGAAGTACAAGAATATTAAGAGATTCTGATGTCCTGCCCGTGAACAGAAAACACACACATAATGGGCTCTCGCTGTCAGAACACATGGCTATTGCAGCTGGAAACCCCTCCAAAGAGATCATATAGACAGACGTTTAATTCAAAGAGGGGAAAAAAGTCAGGCCTGTTACTTGACTACAGTTTCTAGGGCCTGGTGTAGCTATATTTTTAGGCTTTGCTCCAAGGAGCTGCCTCCACAAATTTGGACAGAGCGAGGGAGGCACAGATGGTGGTCACGTGAAGGCACAGACCGATCGGGTGGGCTTGGTTACAAAGTCTGTACATTTAGGCTGCTGTATTCCTCCTATTTCAAGTACTGCCAAGTCCCGGCAGTTTCCACTCTTTCCAAAGTCTTGATTCATTTAATTCTCCTGAAGGAGGTGGAAGAGGAGGAGGATTGCGCAAATCTTACTGTTTTATGGTTTAGAAGAGACAGTCACCATCTTGGCTCCTTGTCAGATTTTAAATGTAACATTTTGCTAAGTGTAAAGCTGTGTCTCTGTTCCTTTTCTGTTGCCGGTTATTGTAACTTCAATATTTGCAAAACACAACCTCAAAATACTTTAAATCCAGCGTAAAGCAGTTTGTTATTCATGCAACACAATTCTTACATGTATCAATACTCAGTGAGTTCACAGCACAGGAATCTTTTCTTGGTTTCTTTCCTTCTTTATTTATTTGTTCCTTCTTTCACTTATGATTATATTTTTCCTTTGGAGATTTAAGAATGATTTAATTACATACATAATTTTATATATATATATATATATATATATATATATATATA